GGTAAATTTACTTAAACTAATCTCATGTATATAATATATTAATTTAATATCATTATTTTTACAGATTCGTTGATATATCATATTAGTACTAAACTACTAAGGACTTTTATGCAGACTTGACTGCCAACCATAACTTGTTGGACCGGATGGACATTGCTAACCTGCCCAGTGACCATCCGTGTTACATAGCAGAGAGAAAGAAGGAACCGGGACTCTTTTCTGATGAAGTTGACTCCAATATTATTACAGAGTTTTGTGCGTTGAGAGCCAAGTCGTACGCTTTCAACGCGTATACTGGACCGGAGGACAGAGTTGGAGTGGAAAAAATCAAGGTAAAGGGTATCAGAGCTCATGTGGTAAAAAACCATATGACGGTAGAGGACCACAAGAAGTGTTTGTTTGGAGAAGTTGGACTGGAGTTGTATAGAGATAATGTGTCGATACGGTCATTCAAGCACCAGATTATGACAATAAAAACTAGGAAATTGACGTACAACAGCTATGACGACAAGAGGATAGTATTAGAAGATAAAATAAGCACATTAGCCCATGGTCACTACAGTATAGAGTAAGTTATTACAATCATATATATATTTTTAATATTTTACTAATATTTATAATTTTATAGGGAAGATGAACTTGATTGGCCGGAGCTTGATGATGAGGTGGATGCAGAAGGATGAAAATGGAACGATGAAGAAAAAGATCTGATGAGAGAACTTCTTTGTCATTTGTCTAAATAATTTTATATATAAATTGTAAATACTTTGTATATATTTGTTGTTATTGTATATTTTGTTAACTTGTAAATATTACTCGACTAATTTGTTTATGTAAATACTTTGTAAATGTAATTGTTGTATAAGATAKATTATTATATTATAGCTTGTATTATTTTTATACTCTTTGTATACTTTGTAAATATTCATGTAAATGCAATGTTTAGATGTAATTGTTAGATTAGTGTATATATTTCCACCTTTTTAATGTTTAGTTTGTAAATGTAGCACATAAACTTGAAATTATTGTAAATACCATGTAAATATAACCATGATAAACATTTAAGTTGGATTATTATGTTTCATTGTAATACTAGGCCTTTATATTGTAAATATCCGTGTTAATGTAAGTATAGTTTATAAAATAGTAGATTAGTGTATAAACTTGTAATATTTTTTATTTTATTTTATATTGTAAATATCCTTGTAATTTTTATAATGTATAATTGTTAGATATTTAAATTTAAAATGTAATTGTTATATAAGATAGATTATTATATAGCTTGTATTATTTTTATACTTTTTGTATACTTTGTAAATATTCATGTAAATGCAATGTTTAAATGTAATTGTTAGATTTTTAAATTATCTTGTTATATTTTTATTTTATGGCCTTTATTATGTATACTTAATACGAATTCCATAATTTACCATGTAATTGTTATATTTTTAAGATATATTGTATTAATTCATCATGTTTTTTTCTGTTTCAGATAGATATAAGCCCATACATATTTAATTAACCTTGTAAATGCTGACATATAAATGTATGTTAGTATGTAAATAAATAAAAAAACAATGTTAAAATATAATTATGTTTATTATATAAAAAGTGCATACATTTTTAAGAATTATTTATAAACCATTTCCTTATAGCAAATACTTTATAGAATGTACATTGTTTTGGATTAAATTCCATATGAAAAATACAGCATAGTAGAGTTTCTTCATCACATATTTGCTCCAAGCGTGGACACCCGAGGTCTTCAATGTTGATGAGTGTGACATGAGGTATAAATCCAATGATAATTTGTTTTTTCTGTTCACCTTTAACGTATATGCAGGTRAACTTTAATGAGTTCAATATTCTACTTAGCTCCTCATACTCAACATCACCATAATCTATAGTTAGTTCATGATAATGACCATAAGCGTGCGCACGGGGGAGGCAGGGGAGGCGGTTGCCTCCCCTGCGAGATTTCCTCTACACCAAAATATAATATTATACCTACTAATTGGAGAAAATCGGGTGGGGGGATTGGAGTCTGGACCTCCTTAGCTAAAGTATTGCCTCCCCTGCCAAGAATACCTACGCACGCTTATGATAATGACGTTCCAGCCACTKGTTAGTTTTTCGACTCTTGTTGTCCTGCATAGATTTTGAATTTTTAAAAATCCAATGTTGTGCTGCCCATGTTTCTGTGTCGACTATAGACATTTCTTTAATAAGATACTTATTGTTTGCTCCAAGAATGCATTGAACGTCCAAGATGCCCGAAGACATTATGTCTTATTTTTATAATAAGTATCAATAGTAAAT